CCTAAACCCTAATTCAGAATTGTTAAGCTGATATTAATATTCCAAAATTATAAAAAGATGGTGTACTAAAAGTCCCACATCGGATATCAAGATTAGTTTTGATCCAGATTTATCTTATAAAATACCAAAAAAATAAGAAACTGTAAAGGTAGGCGTCCTAATTTGAAAATTGTATTTGGTTTACTTTGTTATTCCGCTGAACCGAATTATTAGACCGGATAATATAATTATTTGCAAATTATATATAAACGATTACCTTTAATTAGCAAATTCATAGAATTTTTAAAGATGCGGAGTTTATTTTGAAATGTGATATAGTTATAACATAGTAAGTAGAAGAGTACAAAATTTGCAAAATTATAAAAATAATACATTTAAAGTGATAAATATGAATAATATTAATATCAACAAAACACTTTACCAAATGAATAAATGCAATTAAACAAATAAAACCAATTACTTTAGATAAAATAAAAATGAAACTATTTAGTAAATGGAATGCAAAATGGAAAAACAATTAACTTATTTAAAACTACTCAATTTTTTTGGTTTAAAATTTAATACAACATAGTCAACTACTTATACTTTCACTAATGACTATATTCACTGTAAAATACAATACTTCAAACTACTCTCTTTCTACCTACAAGGTAAAAACAAAAACCATAATATTATTTCCCACTAATCAATTCCACCTATAAGCTAAAAACATACGTATCTAAAGTTAAAACATATTATATACGACATAATACGAAGCTAAATATAGTTTACAACATATACAACGAATGTTTCCGTACGTAGTGCGGGTGAGAATATAGTTTATTCTTATAAGAGAATAACACATTCTTGTAATTACTTAACTTTCACCAAAGATGTGGTGGTCTAGTGGTAACACAAGAGAGTTAATTTTTTTGTGCCTCGGGTTCAAACTTCTTTTGGTACGGATGATTATTCTTTAAATCAGAATTCTAAAAGCTGACTCCGGATACCGAGGAAAAACAAGCCAAAGATTCGGAATTCCCACGGTTTATCAAATAATGAAAAAAAAATTACTAAACTCTCATCACCTATCAAACATGTTTCGACATTGTTTTTCTAATACCATGTTAGAAAAATAACATAAACGAGAGAGAATCCAAATGGATAAAAAATTTCTGTTATTCAACTTGTGAATGTTTTTTTTTTTTAAGATCTTGGAAATTCCGGATGTGCCTTATCTATTGAGACCATCATCTTTCGAAAAAATAGCACATGTGGACCGGATCAAACATACAATACGGCCCACATATTGGCCCAAGTCAACGTGACAACATCTCTAAGCTTTTTACATGATTCTAACATGTTCAAATCTTCGCATTTACTATAATGAAGTCAATAACATTATAACAAGAGTCAAGACGATCATCATCATCATTCATACAATTGATACATACATTGCAACAACAACAACAAAAATATTAATTTTCTTCATTCGAATTTTAGTAATGGACCCTCACTTTCTCTTAG